TGTTTTAAGATTTGTAAAGATTCTAGTCACTTAGTACACTACTATTTAGGGTCAGTTAGATTTTTTTCCTACATTATTACTTTTTATTACATTATTACTTTTATTCAGGTAAGATACATTAAATATATTTTTTTTAAATCTTGAAAAAAATTACCATGGTTTCTACAAAAATATCCAGTCTCCAGACTTATTAATGTTAAAAACAAAACAAAATCTTAATATCTTTGTGGAAACAGTGTTACATTTTTACAGGATTATTTGATTAATAGCAAGTTCAAAAGAACAGTGTTTATTTCAAATCGAAATCTTTAGTAAAAGTCTAAGTCTTTACTATCACTTTAGATTAATTTAATGCATCTTTGTTAAATAAAAGTATTTAAAAAAAAAAAAAACTCCTGCCCCCAAACTTTTGGTTAGTGTGTGTGTGTGTGTGCAAGATAAAAAATTGCAAGATGATGTATTTCAAAACGTTAGTGTCAGTTTTTTGTTGCTAAAGCCACTGTATACACAAAAGCCTTCTTGTGAAGTGACCAATGTATATTACCCTTATGATTCACAGTATTCAATGACTCAGGCCTATTATTTATTTGATCAGGTGCGGATGTGATGTAGTGTGTCTCACCCATGCCGTGCCATATCACCAGAGGGACTGAGGCATTAATTCCCCACGATGAGCCACACAGCAGCAATAGACACCCAGACAGCGATGAGGCGAAGAGCCGCTAATAAACCCATACTTGAATCCGAGGCCGAGCCTGCAGATGTGAACACATGTACATCCCTGTTAATGGAATACACTTAACTTACAGGAAGGGAAAGCACTAAAACAAGGAAGTGAATAAGTGAAGTTGTCACCCACAACTAATTGAGTGGGCTTTCTGCACCGCAAGGCAAATTTATTTATATAGCACATTTTATACACAATGGTAATTCAAAGTGCTTTACATAAAAGAAAAGAAAATGATAATAAAAAAATAATCACAACAATAAAACAAGGAATTGAAAAACTTTGAAAATGATTTAAAAATTGATTTAAGAGGTTTAAAATTAATTTAAAACAGTTAAGAATAGAAAATGATTATACATAAAATATAGTGCAATCAGTTTGGACATTGCACAGTGCTCATTCAATAAAAACACAGCTAAACATGAGTTTTGAGTCTGCATTTAAATGTGACTAATGTTTTAGCACATCTGATCTCTTCTGGAAGCTGATTCCAACTGCGGGCGGCATAATAACTAAAAGCGGACTCCCCTTGTTTTGTGTGAACCCTTGGTATTTCTAACTGACTCGATCCTAATGATCTGAGTGGTCTGTTAGGTTTATATTCAGTGAACATATCTGCCTTATCCTGGTAGAGTAGACAACAATGCCGGCTGTTCTGACTCAAAGACTGTAAGTACGTTTTTTATATTTAAAGCATTTGCCACTGATGATTCAAACGGCAGTGTAGAGTAGGGCTTGTTGTTTGTCATTTTCGATCACAAATGCAGACATGGTTTTATGTTTATGCGGCGCGATGCAACGCGTAAAAAGACAGTATAAGTTATT